GATCTCAAACTCCTGACCTCAGTGGTCACCTGCCTTGGCCTCCCAAAGTGCTGGGATTACAGGTGTGAGCCACCATGCCCGCCAAGTTCTATAGCTTTAAAAGTCATTTAAATTTCTCTTGCTGAATTTAAAGGCAAAGTCCCTCCCAATAATCTCCTTCTGAAAATACACGTAATCAGTAAAGGAGTTCTGACTGAGACTTTACTAAGTACCCCAATGTAAAAACTTGCATAACCATATATTGAAACTATATTTTGAAAATATAAATGTTTTTATTAATAAAGTGTATCCTGGGATAAGTTAAACTCAGAGCCCAAATGCGGCAAACATTATGTTTGAGAATGGCTGAGGCAGCTATTCCTTCCTCGACTTGGGGCGGCACAGCCACTTTGAGTTGGTGCTGCCACTTTACTTTGCTCGTTAGTCTTGCTGGAGGCCCCTCGGAGGAGCCCCACGGTGGTAGAGGTGCCATGAACAAGGTTGCTTTCTCTCTGCGCTTGGGTGTAGAAGAAAAGAGTCCAGAAGAGGCCAGGTCAGGTCTGGGTGTTTGAGTGTCTTCCTAGTGGTGACATGCTGAGCAGTCCTGCTTGGTAGCCTCCTTCCCAGAAGCAGGTTCCTGCAGAAGCTCAAACAGGCTATATCATCCTGCTTGCTGCTCTTTCTGCTGCTACTGATCCAAAAGTAACCTCGAGCCCTGGCCATCTTTCTCTCGTTGTTTTTTTACCACTTTGACACTGTACGCATCAATGACCGAAGATAAATCCCATGAGTCCAGGCGGCTGGGAAGGCAATACGGAATAGTTCAGGGGCACTTTCGCCAATACACTGACCTAGGAATTCCGTATCACCCAAGTCTAAGTAGCATGTATCACCAAATGACATCATTCTTCTTGATTGATTTCAGTTTTTAAAAAGATTGATTATTAAAAAGAAAGATAAGGATGAATCCTCAAGTGAAACTGCATTTTTAGTGTGAACTTTCTTCCAAAGGTTTATTATGATTTCCTTTGAATATAAATTATCATCAGCTCAACTTTTAAATTCAATTCTGGTATGTTTCCATTTCCCTGGCATACACCCAAAGTATAGAAAAATGTAATAATCCCATTTATGTATTTTCTCAAAATAAGAGAAAACTTAAATTTCTCAAATAAGATCAGGATCTAATTATCTGAGGATAAGATACAGTAACAATGCATTATAGAGACCTTCCTAAAACTACAAATGATCTTGATTTCCGATAAGTATTACCTATCTTATAAAACTTCATTTTATACTGAAAGTACGTGTCATATGAATGAAAGATACATTTTCCCTGAACTTCTTCGCAGGAAAAACAAAATGCACATTTGAAAATAAAATCTAAATGCTTGTAGTTTTTTCCATGTGAAATTGAACTGCGATATACACTTATGGAAAAAAATATGTGATTATTTTTAATGATTTGTGTATAAAGAAAATGACTTATGATACAATTTATTAATTAACCATAAAAATTTCTTACATACAATGTATGCAATTTTTGCAATCCCCAAATTCTATTCATATGCTAGAAATTCATAAAGGCAGACATGTAGCAGGGTGAACAAGGAGTCCATTCAGGGTCCTTGTTCAAGTCATTTGATTCAGTAGAAAAGAGATTATAAATCCAAGGGGACTACTTAACTAATGTCCCTCCCACTCCCCCAAAATCACTTATTCATTATAATCTGATCAAACAGGGCTTTGCTAGTTTTGGAAGGAGAAAAGGAATGACGTTTGGAATGGCAGATGTAATGATCTGCTCTAGACTTACTCAGCTCAGAAGTCATATAACAACCTTAGTACAGAATTTATTTGGAAATTGTATGAGAAAGCCTTGGTGCCAGCTGCTAATGTAAAAGAAACAAACCTGGCAGGGTGCAGTGGCTCACGCCTGTAATCCCAGCACTTTGGGAGGCTGAGGCGGGGGATCACGAGGTCAGGAGATCAAGACCATCCTGGCCAGCATGGTGAGAGCCGCCACTAAGAATACAAAATTGGCAGGGCGTGGTGGCTGCACCTGTAGTCCTGAATTCTCAGGAGGAGTTGAGGCAAGAGAATCCCGCCCCGAACTTGGGAGGCTGAAGTTGCCAGTGAGCGGAGGAGGAAGGAGGAGAAGGGAGGAGGGGAAGGGGAATTACCACTGCACTCCAATGAGTAATAGAGTAAGACTCCATCTTCAAAAAAGAAAACAAAACCTTTTCAGGCAATCCTCACATTTTTAAATGGCACTCCTTAGTTTACCAAGCAAACACACTATTTAAAAATAAAAGTATTGGGACCCAGACCCCAAGACCCCATAGTATGTCTTCAAACACAATGAATGTTTTGTACAATAGCAAGACTCTACTACATTATTTGCAAAGCCAGAGTATATATAGGTAAAAACTATAAACCATGTTTTAAAACTTTACACATTAAAAAAACAATTTCAGATATTCTTCATCCAAAACATAATGCAAGTAAGGCAGCCATAGTCATACTTCCTTATGTCATTTTCCTAAATACCCCTCCTCTCAGTGTACACCATACAAAGGAAAGGCATGATGCAGTGCCTGCATAAAGTATCAGGTCCCTCTAAGAACAAGGACTCAGAGTGCTTCCATGCTAGCTGTGCTGAGAAGCCAGGAGTAAAATGCTGAAAGTGAGGATGTAGCCCAAGACAATTTCATATCAGACAATGTCCATAAAGGCCATCCTGAAATCTCCTTTTTAAATTTACTTAGACTTCAAGGACTGGAAATACAAGCAAAGATAGTAGAGATCAAGAAAAATTACATAGAGAAGTACATGCAATTACAAGAAATTCAAAACAAAAGTAGAAACAAGTCCAGTGATGGAAATTTTTCCCTTATATGGAGATAGGCAGGGAATTAGCCCTTTCAGAGTAAATTAACTAAAATATAATTTATTCATTTTCAGCCTCATTCACTTATCAAGTGCCTATCAGAAAGTAAACAGTCATCCTTCATTCTGCATGGACCTCTGAGAGTCTTTCCACTAAACCAAAATAAGGGACTGCTGTTCCTTTCGTGCAGCCACACCACTTGGGTTGGTGCAAGAGACTAGGCAGGAGTACAGCAGAAACACAAAGAACAGGCTTTAAAACTTTCACAGAAGTGTTTGGAAGCGCTATTTTATAACCTTGATATTCCATCTCAGAGGTAAGAAAGCATGGTTTTGTCACATACCCAACATGCTGACAGGTTTAAAGCTCTGAAAATTAGCTGGATAATAACATTTGTAAACTCATTCATTTTCTTATGAAACTGGAACTTAAAAGAGTATAGTTTTTCTACCATATCTTCTTTACCTTTTAAACTGAGAACATTTTCATCTCTGAAACTTTTGAGTGTTCTGCCTTCTCGAGAGTCAAGATTGATACTATACACTACATTTCTAAACAGATTTTTTCTTCGTTCTTGCCAAGAGGATGTTGGCCTTCACAGCTGGATCTGTCTTTGCTGGTCTTTGATCTTTCAACTGCTCATCCATGACTCAGCCTTTAAGGCTCACGGCACTGATCACAGCGATGCTGAGGAAGAAAACCACGGCGCTTTAGCTCGTCACTCTCTCATCTCATTGTGTGACTGGCAAGTAGGAACATTGGAAGGAGAGACAGAGCAGGAGGTATAAGCATTGCATTCATTTCATGTCAAAGAAAGGATAAGATTTGTTTCTTATTTTCTGACCTGCCACAACCAGAGTGAAGTCAAACGTAAGGATTTATAAGAGGCAGCAGTTCAATATTTTTTTCTTCTGATAAACTGAAGCCCTTAGGTGTATACCCAGAACAAACCTCCACAGGACAGGGGAGTATGCCACAAGTCCCATCGACTTTGCCCACAGGACCTCCCCTCTACTACCCAATCTGTTCCTGCACAGGACCACCTCCCCATTGCTCCTCCCATACTTCTGCCCCTCTGCTCCTGCAGGACACTCCCCATTACTACCCACCTGCTACCCCCAACCTGTTCCTGTACCCAGGACCACCTCCCAAATTACTGCCCTGACTCTGCTACCCCCACCTGTGCTCATCTGCAGTTTGCACCTCCAATGCACTCCCCTGCCCCTCAGCCTGTTTCCTGTGCAGGCCCCTCCCCATTACTCCCTGCCTCTACCCCCACCCCTACTCCCTGCTACAGGCTTCCCCCTCTACATCCCTCCTGCTCCCCCCCAGCTCTGCTCCTGCTACAGGCCACCTCCCATTGCCCTCCTCCTGCCCCCCGCTCCCTTGCTGCAGGCCCCTCCCATTACCCTCCTCTTACCCCAGCCTGTTTCCTGCAGGGCCTCCCACATTACTCCCCTCCTTCCCCCACCCCTGCTCTGCTGGGACCCCCTCCCCAATACCCTCCCTGCTCCCCCACCCTGCTCCTGCGGGACCCCCTCATTACCCTCCTGCTCCCCTGACCCCTGCTCCTGCTGCGAGGCCTCCATTACCCAGCCTCCTGCCCCACTTCTCCCTTGCAGGCCACCCCCATTACTGCCCCTCACTCCTGCTTATGAATTTCCCCCATTACTACCCCCTGCTACAACCTCTGCTCCTGCTGCGGGGCCCCCTCCCCATTACCATTCTCCCTACCCCTGACCCTGCTCCTGCCAGGGTTTTTCAATGCCCCCACACCTCTCATCCTGCCAGGGCACCCACATTACTACCCCCTGCCCCCAACCTCTGCTCCTGCTGCAGGGCCCTCCCCATTACCCTTCTCCTACCCCCAACCCTGCTCCTGCCACGGGCACCCCAATACTACCCCCTCTTCCTCCTGCTGCAGGCACCCACACACTGCCCCCTGCTGCCCCAGCTCTGCTCAGAGCCTCGGCGTACTGCCTGTTCTCGCTGTGCCACGGCTGCAGCTCATTCTGCATGGCATCCACGTCTTCCTGGATGTAGTCCATGATCTTACACCCCTGCTCCTGCTGCAGGGCACCCCCCATTACTACCCCCCACCTCTCCTCCTGCTGCAGGGCACCCCCCATTACTACCCCCCTGCTACCCCCAACCTCTGCTCCTGCTGCAGGGCCTCGGCGTGCTGCCTGTTCTCGCTGTGCCACAGCTGCAGCTCATTCTGCATGGCATCCACGTCTTCCTGGATGTAGTCCATGATCTTCCCCAGGGGAAGTGCACTCTTGCACAGGGTCTGGATGGACGTGCGGAGCTTCTCTATCTCCTTGGAAACGATGTCCTTCTCCTTCTTCCACGCCGACTCAAAGAGAGATCGCTCCTACAGACAGGGAGACACGGAAGAGGAACACGCCTCCTCAGTCCGAAGGCAGAACAGGGCTGGTGCACTCAGCACATGGCCATGGGGCTGGGAGGAAAGGTGCAGGCAGGGACAGTGCTGGCTGTGGGACACTCACTCCCGTGCAAAGGGAGAGCCATGCCACCTGACAGAGTAACCCTGAAGTGCTGCGTGCCGTCAGAGGACACAGCACTGCCAGGGAGGGACCACTCCTTCCCTGCTCAATGGGGACGGGGATCTGTCTTTACCTGGAAATCCATCTGAGGGCAAATCTCTATCCAGGCAGATTTCAGTTCCCAACTAACAAGCAACTTTTGTAGCTATTGTTACAAGAGCTTAGTGACATGGAGGATTTTTCCAAAATGGACTGGCAGAGAGGGGGCCTGACCCTACAGCTCCTCACATGGCCCACCTTCCATCCCAAATGACTCCAAAACCCAGCTTGCCAGGAGGAAGGGGCAAAGAAACCCAAAGGAGAGGCAGAAACTGGTGCCATGGAAAGGAAGGCATGGAGAATGTGCAGGGGGGCCAGTGCCAGCAGCACCCAGCAGCACCCAGCGGCACCCAGCGGCACCCAGCAGGCAGACGGTCAGGTCGACTTAGACGTGACTGTGCTGGCCGCTTGGGGAGGCCACAGAGTCTGGGGCTCAGGGGCCGGATGGAAGGGGCCAGGTTGAGACAGCAGCAGGTGAAGGAGGTGAGGAGGACACAGAGTCGAGGGGAGAGCTGCATTCAATTTGGGCCAGGAGTTCTTGGGTTCTTTGGCAAACAACGTTTAGAATTCTCTTCATATGAGCTTTGATCACAGACATCTCTGAATGTCAAAAATTGAAATGAGTTAAGAATCAATAAGCTTGGGAAAATTAACATGGGTTCTTTCTCCTTCTTTCCTTTCTTTCTTCTCTCTTTCTTTCTTTACAGCCAGGGTCTCACTATGTTCCCCAGGCTGCTCTCAAACTCCTGGGATCAAGTGATCCTCCTGCCTTTGCCTCCCAAAGTGCTGGGATTACAGGTGTAAGCCATCATGCCCTGCAACATTGTTTCTTTAGGAAGCCCTCTCTGGGCATCCCCACCCCACTCCAGACCAGCTAAGGTGCCCTTCCTTGCCTCACCCACTTACAGAATGAGCTAGTAAATGCATTCAGTTGTAATAAATCTACTTATTTACTTTGAACATATCATAGCTACATAATCACTTGCATTACTTCGGCCAGTTTCAGACTGTGGGCTCAGGAGGGCAGGATCTTGGTCTAGATTCATTGTGGTTCAAATAAGCTCTGCTTAAGAATTTGTGAAATGAACTAATGAAGTGGATAAATGATTTATGTATCAAGATCCTAGTTCCACCATTTACTGGCTTGGACAAGTACAAGAAAGCTTTAGCATAATGCCTGGCACACAGAAAGTGCTAAATAATTGGAACTTTAAATAAAACGTAAAACTCATACAACTAATAAGTGAGTTCAGCAAGGTTGCAGTACACAAGATGAGCATATGAAAATCAACTATATTTCTATATACGAGCAATGAACACATGGACACTGAAATTAAAAATACAATGCCATTGGCAATTGTTCAATAGAAGACAATGTTTAGTTGTAAATCTAACAAAACATGTATAGGACTTGGAAACGGAAAACGAAATGCAGATGAAAGAAATCAAAGGAAATTTAAATAAATGAGAAGACACACTGTGTCTGTCCACAGATTGGAAGACTCAACACAGTAAAGACATCAATTTTCCCCAAATCGATACGCATATTTAATACAAATCCTACCAAACTTCCAGTCAATTTTTTGTATAGACAAGATTATCCTAAAATTTATGTGGAAAGGCAAAGGAACTACAACAGCTAAAACATTTTCAGAAAAAAGAAAAAATACAGAACTAACCAGTCTACCCAATTTCAAGGCTTTTTTTTTTTAAATGAAGTCTCATTCTTTCGCCCAGGCTGGAGTGCAGTTGTGTGATCTTGGCTCACTGCAACCTCTGCCTCCCGGATTAAAGCAATTCTCCTGCCTCAGCCTTCCAAGTAGCTGGGATCACAGGCGCACACCAGTATGCCCAGCTAATTTTTGTATTTTTAGTAGAGACGGGATTTCACCATGTTGGCCAAGCTAGTGTCAAAGTCCTGACCTCAGGCGATCCTCCCATCTCGGCCTCTCAAAGTGGTAGGATTACAGGCATGAGCCACCGCGCAGGTTTCAAGTCTTTTTAAACAATTACAGTAATCAAGACAGTGCAGTGTTGACAGAGGGACATAGATCAAATGAACAGAACAGAGAATCCAAAAGTAGATCTATACAAATATGTCCATATGCCCAAGCAATCTTTGACAAAGGTACAAAAACAATTTAGTGGCAGAGAGAGTTTTGCACCATTTGGCACTGGGGTAAGACCTCCATAAGCCAAACAAACAAACAAACAAGACCTTGACCTAATCTCGTATCTTAAACAAAAATTAACTCAAAATGAACTATGGATTTAAATATAATATATGAAACTTTAAGATAAAAAAACACAGGAGGAAAAAGTCTTTGGGATCTAGGACTAGGCAAAGAGTTTGAAGACTTGACACCAAAAGCATGATTTCAAATGTTTGCTCCACAAAAGACCCTGTGAAGACTGCAAAGATAAGTCACAGAATGAGCGAAACAACTGCAAATGACACATCCAATAAAGATAGATAGCTAGAATGGGCAAAGAACTCCTAAAACACAACAGCAAGAAAGCAAATAATTCAATCAGAAAACGGGCAAAAGACACAGATATTTCACTGAAGAGGATAAAGGATGGCCAACAAACAGATGAAAATACGTTTGAAATCATTAAGTATTAGGGAAATGCGAATTCAAACCACAACGAGCCATCACCACACAACAGTCAGAATGGCTAAAATAAAAAACAGTGACAACACCAAATGCTGCTTAGGGGAAACTGGATCACACATTGCTGATGGGAACGTAAAAAGATATGGCCACTCTGGAAAACAGTTTGGCAGTTTCCTATAAAACTAAACATGCGGCCGGGCACGGTGGCTCACACCTGTAATCCCAGCACTTTGGGAGGCTGTGGTGGATGGATCACGAGGTCAGGAGATCGAGACCATCCTGGCTAACACAGTGAAACCCTCTCTCTACTAAAAATACAAAAAATTAGCCGGGCGTGCTGGCGGGCGCCTGTAGTCCCAGCTATTAGGGAGGCTGAGGCAGGAGAATGGCGTAAACCCGGGAGGCAGAGCTTGCAGTGAGCTGAGATGACACCACTGCACTCCAGCCTGGGCAACAGTGCAAGACTCCGTCTCAAAAAAAAAAAAAAAAAAAAAAAAAAATGCTCATCATGACTGGCCATCAGAGAAATGCAAATCAAAACCACAATGATATACCATCTCACACCAGTTAGAATGGTGATCATTAAAAAGCCAGGAAACAATAGGTGCTGGAGAGGATGTAGAGAAATAAGAACGCTTTTACACTGTTGGTGAGACTGTGAACTAGTTCAACAATTGGGGAAGACAGTGTGGTGACTCCTCAAGGATCTAGAACTAGAAATACCATTTGACCCAGCCATCCCATTACTGGGTATATACCCAAAAGATTATAAATCATGCTGCTATCTTTATAGAGCATGCACATGTATATTTATTGCAGTACTATTCAAAGACTTGGAACCAACCCAAATGTCAATGATAGACTGGATTAAGAAAATGTGGCACATATATACCATGGAATACTATGCAGCCATAAAAAATGATGAGCTTGTGTCCTTTGTAGGGACATGGACAAAGCTGGAAACCATCATTCTCAGCAAACTATCGCAAGGACAAAAAATCCAAACACCACATGTTCTCACTCATAGGTGGGAATTGAACAATGAGAACACCTAGACACAGGGCAGGGAACATCACACACCAGGGCCTGTTGTGGGGTGGGAGAAGTGGGGAGGGTAGCATTAGGAGATATACCTAATGTAAATGATGAGTTAATGGGTGCAGCACACCAACATGGCACACGTATACATATGTAACAAACCTGCATGTTGTGCACATGTACCCTAAAACTTAAAAGTATAATAATAATAAAAAAATACTAAACATGCAACTACAGCATCACCCAGAAACTGTACTCCTGGGCACTTATCCAAACAAATGAAAATTCATGTTCATAGAAAAACCTGTATACAAATATATATAGAAAAGTAGCCACAAACTGGAAACAACTCTCGTGTCCTTCAACAGGTAATTGGTTAACTAAACTGTGGTGCATCCATACCAGGGAAAACTATCTACCAATAAAAAGGAACAGACTGGCCAGGCACGGTGGCTCATGTCTGTAACCCCAGCACTTTGGGAGGCTGAGGCAGGCGGATCACCTGAGGTCAGGAGTTCGAGACCAGCCTGACCAACGTGGAGAAACCCCATCTCTACTAAAAATACAAAATTAGCCGAGCATAGTGGCGCATGCCTGTAACCCCAGCTATTTGGGAGGCTGAGGCAGGAGAATCCCTTGAATCCAGGGTTGGGGGTGGAGGGGTTGCAGTGAGCTGAGATCATGCCATTGTACTCCAGCCTGGGCAACGAGCAAAACTCCGTCTCAAAGAAAAAAAAAAAAAAGGGACAGACTGCTAATCCATGGGACAACCTGGATGGCGCTCAGAGGATTATGAATGAGAAAAGTGAATCCCAAGAGCTTACATGCTGTAGGATTCCTTTTACACAAGATTCTTGAAAGACTGATGGTGGTAACCGGGGGTGAAGGAAGAGTTCGAGGTGGGGAAAGAGGGCGTGGCTATAAAAAGGCAGTAAAAGGGATCTTTGAGGTGATAAAAATGTTCTGGATCCTGTTTCATTGTCAATATCCTGGTTGACAATGTACTATAGTTCTGCAAGATGTTATCTCTGGGGGAAAATGGGCAAAAGGCATACAGTATATCTCTATTATTTCTTTTTCTACTATTTTTTCTTTACAGGGTTTCATTGTGT